CATATTTAAAAAAGTACTTTGATAAACAAAAGCTTTCCTTCACAATTCAAGGTTTTCTCAGTATAAAAGAGTAAGAAAATTTTAAAAAATGAATTTGATGAAAAATATAAAGTTTACCGTATCCAATTAAATGCAAATATATTTTACATGGCTATTGAATTATAAATAGTTCAGTAATCCGAACCATGCATTATGATATGAATCAAAACCAGTTTGGAGTTTGTTTGGAAAGGTTTTGCTGAGCAGCATGAAATCCTCCATTTGAAGGTCAGTAGTTATGCAATTATCATAGGAAGGGAGTTACCATGTTTTAGATGAAAGTAGTATAAAAAGCAAAATGCAAATTTCAGAAACTAGAACACGGGTCACTAAAAAATTTCTTTAACATTATAGCATTCTGTCAAGGATATTTTCAGTGAAGATAAAATTCTTTTATCACCAGTTTATATGAAATTGCATCTTGAGAAACATTATGTAAGGAGGATGTATTGACAAAGGATTAATTTAATTATTTCTGTGAAATTCCGTCATTTAGTAGAAATCTGAACTAAAGGTATTTTTGTTCGATCAACGATTAGAAAGGTGAAGCTAGCTAAAACTGCAATTTGTCATTATTGAAATTGGAAGGGGAGATTGCTGTGATTCAAGTTTAGGGGTAAGAAATAGTGCTGTGATTTAAGTTTAGGGGTAAGAAATAGGAGTCTGATTTTTTGCCTGTACTTAACGTATATTGCAAAACTTAAAATATTGACTGTTGAGTGAATATGATTTTTTTAAAAGCACCTTTCCAAAAAATGTGATGTATTAAATAAGTAGGAGAGGGAAGAAAAAATTATAATCCTTGGAATGTTGATATGATTGCAGGTTATTCCTGGATATTATCATGCAAACATCCAGAGGGAAAAGAGAAATACACAGTCTTCTTACAAAAACTCGGCAGTGAAAGGTTTCAGTTTAAAGAACTTATGAAAGCAAATATAATTTAAAGTCATCTGTAATTATATGTTGTGTTTTCTATTTATATAAAGCTGTTTTTACTGAAAATGTTTTCCTTGATTTTTTTTAAGTCCCTTCAGTGGACTGTCTATGTGTATACACCAATCAAAAAAAGAGTTACACTAATTGTGAAAAAAAAATGTCTGCATTTCATAAGCAGGAAATAATGTTCTTGGATTCTGCATCTTCCCAAAAACTATAAATTCATTACATATTTTTGAAAATGTGTACAAAATCTCGATTTTGCTAGGCTGTATAATAAGTAACAGCCTTTTTTTCCCCTGTGTGTGTCTAGAAAAGCAGATCAGAGAATTCTGAGAAGAGGAGATTCATGTCATTATTTTTTAAAATACCTTGAGCCTCTTTATAGAATTTCAGGTGGACAAAAATCCAGCAATGATGTGATATTTGATGTCCAGCTTTTGTATCAATAAGTAGAAATACTTACAATATTTGTACATTTCCTGTAATATTTTATTTATCACAATTCCAAGAGGGGGGAGATGAGTCAAAGGGGTTGCCTACTTTTAGAGTTCTTGTAAAAAAATAATAATCCACATATTTCTACACAAAAAGAATTTTAGAAAATATGTCAGTTTCTTCTATGTATCAGTTGAAAGAAAGTGGCTAATGACATATTTTATAAAATGCTTTGTATATACACCATGAATTATAATATACCATGAATTATAATACATGAATTATAATATATATAAATTGAATATTTGCCTATTTCCCTATATTATTTATATGTAGTACTTAATATGTCATTTTATCTGACTTTGGCATTTTAGTACATGAACATCATAGATGGATTATTTCCAAGGCAGCAAAAACTTCAGCTTTATTAAATAATAAAACATTTTATGAGCACTGTAGACAATAAGCTGAAAGATTGTATTATAACTAGATGTAACTTGCTAAATTTCCTTCTTATCCTTCCCATGAATAACATGTAAACTACAAAAAATTTGGGAACTCCAAGATCAAAATCATTGGCTGGAAATAAACAGAATTTTCTGCACTAAAAATATGATAGTTGTGTACATATGTACAAAATAAATACTTTTTATTTAAAAATTGTTATGTATTATTTATTTGTATTTGTTGTGAAATGCTGTTAGAAAGTGGTATTAATAAAAGCAGTAGTATGATTTTATCAAATTTTAATTTGAATATTTTAAGAAAAATCAACTTTAAACAAACCTTCCCAAATATGTTTCTTTCCAAATAATATACAGTCAAAAGTCGTTAATCCGGACTCATCGGGACTTCGGCAATTCCGGATTATCGATTTTTTCCGGATCATAGATCATCATTTTAAATCTGGTAAGATGGCATGCAAATTACAAAATTAAAAATATGAAACCATAATTTATAAAAGAACAATTATGATCTAAGGGTATCAAAATTTACAAAAAGAAAAAGCTTAATATTTATTTGTTTACTTTATTAAACATTTCCTTCAATGTAAGTTGCTTCGTTTCATGATAATACTTTCTCTTTAATTCTATTAAACAGACATAATTTTGTTTAGTTCAAAGTTCCGCTGTTCAATCCTATAATTGCTGTTTGAGAAACGACTAATTTGTCAATCGAAATGTTTTCGTTTTCATAACCTCTGGGTCACTTTCTTCACTATCGGAAGCGAATTATAATGACGAGACTTGATTTAAATCATATCAAGACGGAGGAATGACTACACTTAGTACGGAATTATAAACCAAATAAATAAAAACATCTGCTCGAAGATAAGGATAGTGCTGACAGATCAACTTCCATCCCGCGTGAAATGATAAACAGATTTCGGATTTCAAACATACTTTCGCTTTGTAGATACAATTACATATTAGTAAATATATATCGGAAATTCTATTTGACATCTTTCAAGCTTACTTTTATGAATGCTCTAACAGTCTGCAAAAAATATAACCCAGATCAATTCGAAGATAAGAACAAGCAATCGCAACCTTACTGAATTGATATTTGCTTAGCTATACTTCGTTACACGTTAAACGCGCTCGCAGAAACATATTCGCAGCCGTAAGGTCTACGCACCTCTAAACGCCTGTCCGCATGGTGAAACACGCATGTGCAGAAAGTTGTAGCTTGATGTCCGGATTATGATCATCGGTTATGGGTCTGAATGAGCACTTTTGCTGTATTTAGCTAGATCTTAAAAATAACTGAATATATTCATTTCATAGTATATTAAGGGAAGTGATACAAGACTCTCGGTTGATTGTCGAATCACAGTATTATTAACTTTTTTTTAAGGTACATTAATTTTATAATTGAATTATTGTATAATTTTCTTGAAACTGGTGATTATTTTAACCTTTTGATGTGTACACTGTTATTTTTATAACTAAAAGCTCTAGAAATTGAATATTATGATCCTAGAGACAAATAATATATGATTTAAAAAAAGAATATACTCTCGCCCATTGATCTGTGGGTGGTGGTCTCACTGTGAAACCAGCACACATCTAAGACTTTGAAACTTAACTGAGCTGGTAGGAAAAAACAACTTACCTTTTTCCATGTGCATTTCCAATGAATGACGAAATTTGGGAATTAAACAAAAATTGTGTTTAAAACTTGTGTTGCATGTAACTTTTTTACTTTATTTTACAAGGTAAATTATAAAAAAAATCAAATATTTATGTAATTTTTCTACAGCAGTGAAAACATAAGAACATACTTAATAAGGAAGTTCGGATAAATAGATAAAAAAAGGCTCAGTAGAGTATAAAAAAACTCAGTGTTTTTTTTTTAATGTCAAGGAACAAAGTTACTTTTTATGAAACTGTTCAAAGCATTTTTTGTCTTTTTGTTACATGCATAAGCCAACATTGCACGTTTCACACATGTATCTTGTTGTATGAGGTGTGTATCCCTTGTGCTACAAAATGTACACTGCCATGATTTTCATTTTACTGGAATATGTTCTGTGTTAAATATTTTAAATTTGTATAATAATATGCGTAAAATATTTTAAATTTAATTCAATTTTTATGCGGCTTATTTTTAATTATCGAAAAATATAGTTGCATTTTATTTAAAACACACAAAATAATTTAGAAAATCATAGTACTAGCATACTTCAGAAAAAAGAGCAGGAAATGAAAGCTCAGAGAAAAATCTCTGGAAATGAAAGACATTTTCTCTGGGAACGTGCATGTATTGTTTAGTAATAAAATAACTATGTGATGTCAAAGCCCCTTATCAGTAGCCGGATAAAAATAAACATTCCTATTTGAAAGCAGCAAGCACCATTCTGAAGAGCAATGGTTTCACGGTGTGATCGCTGAGCCTGTAGGGGATTGTGAGCATTATAACACAATGCTCTAGAGGCTCAGTGGGTTGCGCCATGAAACCACAAAGCAAATGCCATGAATATAGGTTGTTTATATATGCAGTTTAATTATTGCTGTATTTTTATTGTTTATGATAGAAATAATGATCTACAATTAATAACTTTTGAAATTTAAAGTTGTTTATATTAATAAAAGGAAGCAATTTTTGTCTCATTGACAAAATTTTAAAAGGCATCTGATTTGAAGTACTAAGACATAAAAAATATTTGGTTTTGCAGTCATTTTGTGTTATTTAGTAGTAAAAGATCAATCAATCAGTTTTCACTCAAAGTTCGGAAAGAAGAGCCAGAAAAAATTCGAAAATTGGTGGTTTCAGGGCGCAACCACCATGTTATTATTATATGATTGAATTTAAAGGAACATTTCTTATGTAAAGAAATGCAATTTTCATGTATTATTCATTCACTTATATTGGATAATGTATTTAACATGTTCATAAGAGATTGTTTTCTTTCTTTTTTTATTTTTTCTTCCCCCTGCCATATATATATAGAAATTAATTGTTTTTTGAAATAATTTATATGAGTATTGCAAAATACCAAAGTACTGTCAATTTTATATAAGATTATTAAGTCTTTTGTATGTATTTAATGTTAATATCTTATTAGATTTTCTTTATTTTAGAGTTTGTGGATTTGCCTTATTTGTGGACATATAGGCTGTGGGAGATATGTAGATGGACATGCATATCAGTGAGTTTAAAATTGCATAATTTAGTTTGCTGTTCTTGTAAATGTTGCAATGCATTATTTTTCATCATTCAGTAACCGAAAATAAATACATAAACAAAGCACTAAATTTATACTTTCTTTCTAGTCATTACTTAGATACACAGCATACTTATGCTATGCAGTTGGGCAATAATCGTGTCTGGGATTATGCTGGTGATAATTATGTGCATCGTTTAGTACAGAACAAAGCTGATGGAAAACCTGTTGAGTTAGAGCCTCGATGGGTAAGTCAAGCATATGATAACATTTACTTTCACCTTTAACAGTATTTGGAAATACATGATTTCTCACATCAAACAGAATGACGATGTGAGATGATCACTTACTCCATAAAAATATCGATGCAATATGTTATATTATTGCAATAAGTATTTCATTATTTAGAGACATATAAAAAGTGAATTTTAAGCTATACATAATTCATGGCAATGTATATGCGTACATGTATGTCAACTTCAATTAAAAACTAAACATGTTATCCATTTAAAGCATGTACAACTAATTTTAAATAAATAACACAAGTAGGTATTAAACCTGAGTAGCTTAAATGTTCAGTTTAAAAAACTAAATTAAATCCTATAAATACTGAAATATGTATATGAAATGTTTTAAGTATTTTACGTAAGTATTACTGTCGATTCTGGTTTATTAAAATATAGTGGTGAGCTGTATTGATAACTTTTGACCCAAATAGGGAGTTGTACCAGTTGTTTAAAATTTGAGATTGAAAATTTAAGTATAACATAAAATGCCAGTTCAATATTCTCCAAAATTGCAAATAGTTTAGATGATCTGTGTAGAGAAGGGGAAGAATTACTGGTAATATTTTTAAGCATTTTTTTTCTTCGATAGCAATATCTTTAGTAAATATATTGTATTAAAACATTAAACTTACTAAGAAAAGATTAGGCATTCTTGTTAATAATCGCTCCACGAGTTACTATCAAAAGAATCTGTACAATGTCTTTTAAGTTGCTTTTGGTTAGCTGTCATGTGACTAACATAATCATATTGCTGTTTTGTCTGAAGTGTAATTAAAGCGGACATCGTGGCATTCTAAAATTGCTCATTAAAACTCAAATGTATCATCTTCACTTCCAGTTAGCTAAAAGAAAAGGGAAAAAAAATGAAATTAATTTTAATTATTCTAGTTTTAAGTGTCACCCTTTTTAGTCATTAAAATTATCCAGTAAATAAAGTAAAGTATTTTATCAGTTTGATGCTAGTAAAATGGCTGAAATTCCCTCTTTTTTTAAACTGGAATCTGAATGTTCAGATTAATATGTTCAGAATTAATATGTTCAGAATTAATATGTTCAGATTAATATGTTTAGAATTAATATGTTCAGATTATAGTGTAACACTTGAAAGAGATTACTATGTAAAGTTTTAAAAGTTTAATGTATATATTTATATTAAAAAATTAAAATAAGCTTAAAAAGAAATTAGTCTGATATAATGCATAATTGCATTATATATAATCTACATAATTGATGGTATGCAGATTTCAAAACAGGTTTAAGATTATCAGTTACAACAAGTCTACTAATTTAACAATTAATATCCTTGAAGTTAAAAATAAACCATATATTCTTATGCATAAAATATGCTATTCTAAAAGCAAAGACAGGTAAGAGGAAAAAGAATATTGGTATGGTATTTTTTCATCATAAAATTAATATCATATGGACATTTGTCTACTTGTTTGATAAAGAAAAGAATTATTCAAGCTGTAGCTGTACATTTGTTTCCATGGATCACTTATATATGAGGCTTACTACAGTCAAAAGTCGTTAATCCGGACACGTCGGGACTTCGGCGATTCCGGATTATCGATTTTGACGGATTATAGATCATCACGTTAAATCTCGTGAGAGGCATGCGACAATTCTAAAATTAAAAGTATTTGAAACTGTAATTTATGAAATAAAGAACCTGTGATCTAAAGGGTATCAAAATTTGCAAAAAGAAAAAGCTAATATTATTTGTTTACTTTATTACAACCTTTCTGTATGTAAGTGTTGGAAGTTTTGCTTCGTTTCATGTGATAATAACTGGCTCTTAGTATAAAGAGACTATAATTTCTTGTTCAGGTTACAAAGTTACGCTGTGCAAGTCCTATAATTGCTGGTTGTCGAGAAAAACACGAAAATTTGTCAATCGAAAATTTTTTGCGTTTTCACTAACCTCTGTCACTGTCTTCGCATCGGAAAAGAGAATTATAATGACGAGGAACTTGTTTTAAATCATATCAAAGGGACGGAGCAGATCGAGATTGAAAATACAACAAGTTGCGTAAGGAATTATAAGCCAACTAAACACCCCAGCAAAAAAATCTGCGCGAAGATAAGGATTAGTGTGACCCCCACATACAACACACTTCCAATTCATCGCAACCGCCGTTGCATCTCCCCTCGCGTCAGCAGCGTGGAAAATTGATTTAAACAGGATTCGGTTTCAAAAATACTTTTGCGGTAGATCATTTAATCATTAACAAATATTATGTCGGGAAATTTCTATTTGATTAATCGAAGTTTAAGCTTACTTTTATTATTAAAAATTGCTTTTTACAGTTGCAAAAAATAAGAAGACAGGACCAATTCTAAAATGTAAGGAACAACCACTCATCAACATTAACTGAAATAGTAATTGATATGTTAGATTATACGTCAATTATAAATAAAAATCGGCACGCGGGGAAACGTATTCGGGCACTTGCGCAACTCATATGCGTAGTCGTAAAAGGCTACGCGCACGCGTTAAAAGCCTTGCGCATGAGTCAACGGGGCGCAGGCGCAGAAGTTTTAGTTTTGAGGTCCGGATTATAGATCATTCCGAATTATGGGTGTCCGAATTAACGACTTTTGACTGTACAAATATTTCTGTCCAGTGGTAATACTTTGTCACATCATGAAATCCATGTACTGGAAACAAGAAATATATCTTTAAGTTTTTAAGAGAGTAGTTGGTGTTTTTTTCAAATATGCCTGTTGATGTTAACTTGTTGCTATTTTTGTGAAAATTGATTTTAAGCTTTAAAGTTTATAAATTGCATTATTTCTTCTCAAAGCTTTAATGTACCACATTATGTGCGTAAAGTGGCAATTTGAAATTTTGAAATACTATCCTTAAAAAGTATTAAGTTATCATTAATAACTGTTAAGCATATGCAAACTGAAATTTATGTTTTTATAACCTAAGTATCTATAATGTTCTGTTTTGACTATGTATTAATAAATTTTATTTTGTATGTATTCTAAAAATTTATTTGCAAAATTTTGTGCTTTAAATTTTGTTCTGCTTTTCCATGTATCCCTTAAATAGTTTAAAAGTTTATTTCTTTAATTACTTTTAGTAATTTTTGTATTTCTGTAGTTCATTTAATGTTTTTTAAATTAATATGTTCTGATTCAGTTTAAAATAATTAATATAAATCTGAAGCTCAATGGTTACCAAATGGGAGTAATTTACCAATAAGTGTCTGCCTACTTCTTGCAACCATACCCTCAACTTTCATAGTGTTCTTTGAAACGTAAGCTCAGTATCATTCTGTTAACTCAGCCACACTGTGTATTTCTTTTTTTCATGGAGTTCTGGAATTTCTGAGTAAAGATATTGTGTTTTTCATGATCGTGAAATGATGCTAAGAAGTCCAGATACAGTACTTAAGAACATGCACTGAAAAATTTAGAGTGGTGATAAAAATGAGATTAGGAAATTGGTTTGATGAAATTCAGATTGCTTTGTACAGCATCTTTGCTTTTTATTTATTTTTGCTGTAAGGAGTTAATGTCAGTCAAATGTTGTTAAGAAGGCTTTTATTTGGTGGATAATAATAATTGCATCTAGTGGTGCAATTATTTTTGAGAACCACCATTGCTGAAATAGAGACCTGAAATACCTGGTTCTTATCACCAATATTCAGATTGCTGCCAGTATTATTTTGCCGCCAGTCCAACTTCCTGGTATCATTTTTAAAATTTATTTTACCATTTTCATAATTAATTTGATATTTTTATGTTAACTGTTACTGCATTATTTTCTGGGCTCACTTAGTTATAATTTTTTCTTTTTCTACAGATTGAAAATGAGGAAAAAATGGATTCTATGCAACTTGAGGTACTTCATCATCTTTTTCCTGATATTTATTCACATTTGATCTTTCTTCTGTGGGTGTATAGTAATATTTATGTTTTATAATTTGTATATAGTATGTAGGCTAAATAAGGATTATTTTTGTTAATCCTTTTTTTTTTTTTTTTTTTTTTAAGTTGCCTTGTATAAGATGCAAGCTTACTTATAATAAAGTATGTTTATTTAGTTGATAAGTTAATTTTAAAATGAATATTTTTGTATAATTTATTACAGGAGTTGTTTTGAAAATTTGAGAATATATTTATTTTCACACAGTGGACGCTAAAATGTTTAAAAAATCTGCATATGCATAGGAAGATTAAAATGAAACTTAGTCAACTATAATTCTTTACATTTTTAATTTAATGAGGCATACTTATTTATAATGATTGTAATCTTTCGTTCCTATTTAATGGCATATTTTTAAAATTTTCTGGAATATGTATGTTTTTAAAATGTGTACTGTATTATGTTGCTGTAGTACAACATATTCTTAAATTATTAAAGAAATTAAATGTATAGTTTTTTTTGGGGGGGAGGTATGTGTTCTAATGACAGTCATGGCAGAATTCTGTGTATCTAAATTAATTTAGTGAAGTAGTTTATATTATAACATTTTAAATTACTTTTGAATAATATAAAAAAAAAAACTGGTAATAAATAATTTGAAGCCATAGTATATGACTCCAAAGAGATTTGATGAAATGAAGTTCGTTTAGTTTATTTACTATCTTTTTATTATCAAAATTGGGAAGAAAGTCATACAGTGAATTTAGTTTGTCATGTTTCGTAAAAAATTTAATGTCATCAAAACTGATATTAATTTCCACTGATAGTTTTCAAAGATTATATTTATTGATGATGTATTTATATATATTTGTTGTTGTTCACTGGTATTTTGTTGTAATTTTTAGTATACATATCTATTAACAAGTCAGCTAGAAGCACAAAGGCATTATTTTGAAGATCGCATCACAAGGTTTGAAACAGAGGCACTGAAACAAGTAAGTGTATATCTCAGTTTATGTATCAGATCTTTTCAATATTATTATTTTTTCAGTTACATAAGCAAATAAAGGTATGCAAATAAATAGATTATCACATAAAATTTAGAAGTCATTGGTTTTATATATTAATAGCTGATAACTTATACTATGCTTAAATTTTCCCTTTTTTCTTTTCTTTCTTTTTTTTAATCATATCGAAACTGTTTTAATTATATATCAAATAAATATTAATGAGATATTCTAAGTAATCAGAATGAAATGTTGTTACAGGACTGATATGTTTTTTTAATTGTGCTTGATAAAAATTTTAATTGTAACTTTTCTAACAACTGTATTAAAATAGCTTGATGGTTGTTTTAGTATAAATTTACCGAAAGGAATAACATTATAATAAATTAAGAACTAAAAGGCAGTGAAATGTTTTATATATGTTTGGATTAAAGATTCTAATATTACAAATCCTACTTTTTCTAAATAATAGTATAAGATGTTTGAATACTGTGCTGATTATGTATTATGCTCTGATGTATTTCAGTTCATTGTAGAACATCTTGAAGATTTCAGTTTCATCACTAATTCATTCACAGAATTGTGTGTTAAATACCATTATATATTGTATTGTATAATTCATTTAAGAAGGATCAGTTTCAAAATTTACTTTTGGAAATTAAATTATATTTCTTGTTTTTTCATCAAGCTGGAAGAGATGAAAGAAAAAACAAAACATGCAGTAGATGAGAGAAAGCAGTTAGAAGAAAAACTCAATAGAGTCACAAAGGAAAAGCAAGCTCAAGAAAAGAAAATTAGCCAGGTAAATAATTTTTAATATGTGCCTGTTAGCAGTGTGTACCTATCTGCTGTTATTATATTTACTATACTGATTATTTTTACTGCATCCGTTTGATTATATATATATATGTGTGTGTAATATGATGACTTGGAGAAAGCTACAGCAGATTGACAATGGTTCTCTGCATTATAACTTGGAAGGACTTTACTGCGTAGTTAGAAAGATGACACTTGAAAAAGAGACTTATAGGCAGACATGGCTGAATAGAATATAATTTTTATTGCTGCACATGAACTGATTATCAAAACATATTTTCTCTCATACATGATCATGGGGCAATATGCTACCCATAATTTTATGCAGAGTGTCACATTTAAGTTAAGGATATATTTAGTAGCATGACACAGCAAAGGGAGTGAAGTAAGCATGCCAAGAACAGGTTTTGGGGTTAGAAAGGTTTCAGTTCTCAAA